AATCTGGAAAATGTGGGAAATTGGTAAGTGTTGGGGAGGAGGGTAGGGTCGTACCGAGACCCTCATTTAGGTGGAAGGGGGTCGTATTGACACCGCTTCTCGGAGGGAGGTACCTACACTGCTATTTCACACATCACGATGCTGTACCCTGATCTTAGTTGTGACACCATGACCGGGTCTGAAAAATGTTCCTGGTAAACACGCGCTTGTGGCTCCGGATGTTCTTAGAGCAGATGGGCTAACGTATAGAATGTGGAGGGTGGCGGACTGCAGAGCTAAGCGTAGGCATGTGCACGCAAGCATCATCTACATGAACAATATCTAGATGCGAATGTTCGAAAACAGGATTGTAGAGCCTAATTTTATTTTTCTGGCTCTGTTCGGCTTGGGAGGAGCATTTTGTGGCAAGATGGTGAATAACTCAAAAGTGAAAAAGGGGAAGAAAAAATCAGCCCGAAATGCGTCATATAGAACTCCTCGCTGAGCCGCGTTTATACATGCTTAAAGTGAAGAAAGGGCGTGATTGGACGAGTTCCCCTGTTTGTTGGAGCCAGCTATTTCTCCTTATCACCACACTCTCCCTATTTGAAACAGAGAGAGGTAGTGATCAGGGAGCAATAGCAGTGGAATAGGGAGCACTCGCAGCACTGGGAAGGTTGGGTGTTGCGGTGGCCACTGTGCGGGACCGCTGCCTCGGGGGAGCAGGTCGCGTTTTCTTCACGTATTTTTGACTTGCGCGGACAGTACATCCCCCATGCTTGCAGGCGACTACCATGTCCAAAGAAAGCGTGTGCACATCAAACGAACGTGGGAAAGCCTTCAGTATGACCCTCTCCCTTACACTCCCATGCACCTCTACCGATAACCAGGAGTGGTAGAACTACCAAACTGTGGTGATTTTGCGACCGCAGTTCATCGGACAGTTGGCTCAACCAGAATTCCTTGCAGTAATAATGCCCGGTGTAGATAAGCCAAATCCTGAGTCCAGAAGGGTTCGCACTCGCCGGGAAGTGGTTTACCCACTCCGAAGCTCATGCATCAATGAAGGGTTCCACGACATGGTGTGTCCTTTCCTAGCACGTATTGGAGTGCGGTCCTAAAGTAGACTAGGCCAGAAAGCTCTGAATCTCGATGGCTCACACAGACAGGGCACATCGTTGTTGGGGAATCCCCAACAGGGGTCGTATTTGGCCACCAGGGGAGGGGAGGGTCGTATTTGGGCTGGGAAAAATTTATGATAGTTATTTCCTCGCTTCGCCCCCCCCCTTCTTGACGGCTCGATTCGATGAGGAGAAACGGACAGTGGACGCGGAGCGGCGGGTGTACCAAATCCGCAAAAAAAAAGGGACAAGGGGGGTCCAGCAGCGGGGTCGTCACTGACTCACTAAAATCCCCAACCAATGATGTTGCCCCTGCACCAGATAGACCACTATCTTACGTGTTTAGTCTATTTGTGAACCTTCCGGACGCAGTTTGCTGACGGGGGGTTGTCATTTTGCACTTTTCGTTGTTCATAGTTTGCTTGCTGTCTCACTTCTGTCGAGACTGTGAATCATTGTGAAGCTGCAGCTAAGCTCGTCAGGCCATCATTGTAATACCTCTCTACAACTCTAGAGAGCAGAGGCTGTTAGATGGCCTATGGTACACGTCAGGGGAAGTCGTTGATGTGCAAAATTCCCCCATTGCCAAACAGCGCCGGACCTTCCTCTTCCTCTCAGCATTCCTCGTTCACTACCGGTCGACAAACTCAGCGGTTAAACTAGGCCACGCAACGGCATCCCTAGGTCCCTTCTCTAAACAAAGCATAGACCTGGAGCACAGACGATGAGAGTGGCGTGAAGACTTCCTGCGGTCTAAGCCTGCCTTGCTTCTTGGGTTTGGGATGCAAAGGTGCCGCTGCTTGGCCCAGCTCAACAACGCTACCACCACTTTCCAACTCATCTCAGACCTGTGTTTGAAGTGCATAGCACACCACCCCAAAACGCCCTTCCCTCAGCCAGATAGGTGTACAACTTTAGCCTCAAGATGTAGCGGAATGACTCCCAGAAATCGTGTGACCACTCGAGCGCTTATAGCACTGCATCTCTCTGGTCATTACAATGGCTCAGCAGCAAATGACAACCATCGATCTCTCATCGTAACATTGATTGGCTTTCATTCCGGACATTATCATGGAGGATCTTTGGCAGTTGATGTTTATATCTTCAGTCTCATGAACACTTCGTTAGTTGGACACCTTGCAACTCTTCGACCGATGAACCTCCTGCTTTATTTCATACTTTATTGGTCGTCCCATTATTATGATCAGAGATCGTACTCAACCAAATCAGTAAAATAAATGCATAGACACGATAACCACGGAGGTACGCCCACCACGACATTTACAAGACCAATAATTGCAAGCTTTCGCTCGCTACATCGTAGCACACACAAACATTATTAATATTGTACAATGATCATCAGTATCTGAGCCACACACGGTTAAACCATGTGTGACACATACAAAAATTTCGAAAAACGTCGGTGAGGAATGAGTGAGGTATTGTGAGCTGAGAAGTACACATACACGCCAAGGATGTAATAAGTTTACTTCGCCTTAGCCTTTCCTGCCTTCTTGGGGGATGATCCTGATGATCCTCCGGCTTTGTATGCGGCCATCTCTTTCTCATACCGTTTCTTCTCCTCGGCTGCCATCTTCTCCCACTTGGACTTGTCCTTTACCGTGGCCCATTCAACACCGGCGGCCTGAAAACCTAGCGTTTGGAATTTGGCGCCAACGGGCCACAGTGACAAACCACTTGTAAAAAACTAACCCTGGACACATCAACGACGCTCATGCCTGGCTTAGACAGTTTGGCTCGGTTCTCGTTCAACCAGAGCATGTAGGCGGATTGAGCGCGTTTCGGTGCATTGGGGTCCTTCTTCTTTCTTTCGGCTTTCATCTTCGGTGACTTGACCTTCTTGGGCGATGAGGCAGATGCAGACTTCTTTGGGCGACCCATTGTACTGTACGTGCTGGAAGAACAATGAACCTTACTCGAAAGACCTCTTTCACTGGGAAACGAGTTATCACGAAAACGACAATAACAAACAATGGTATCATTGATTTAGCACATAACGAGAGAGTGGGTGGGAGAAGAGCGGTGGGACCTGACTAGACCCCCCACAACAGAACGAACTGACCAACCATACTGAACAAAAACTGTCCATCTGAGTGACCACGCCACTCTTATGCACTCGCGCCCTTTTCGACCAAAACGCTAATGGGCGTGGCCCAACGAGACAGCGCGTCATCGCAAAGACGCAGATGGCCAGAGTGGCGAGAGAGCACGCAAGGCGTGGAACCGACAGACATGGCGAATGGCGCGAATTCAAAATGATTCGAATGAATTGGCACGCTGCCAACCGAACAGCATTAACAAGGCGCTTTTGAATACGGCGACCCGAACAGATGGCCGTTTGGGTGATTTGATGGAAATATGATGGACAAATGTCTCATGTGGACATATCTGACTTATAGGTGGGCGAGAAAAGCCCTCAAATCGGTTCGCAATCA